GAAAAGTGCACGTATTGAGAGACAGTTTTGTACTTTATGTGTGTACATTTCTACTCGATTTGTCAATCTATCTAGGCCAAAAACATTTCTAAGGGCACGGTTTTGTATTATTTGTAGATTTTTAATTGCCTGGTTATTCGCTCTTCCCCATATAGTAATTAGGTATGCTAAATGCGACTCAAATAACGCTTGATAAATCATCTTTTTCACTTGGATCGATAAACTGCTTCTCATTTTCCACAATATTCCAGAAACACTTGCCAACTTTTTGCTAACATAGTTGATATGTGATTCGAACTTCAGACAGGGATCTAGTAAAAGCCCTAAGTACTTGGCTTCAAACACGCGTTGAATAACATGGCATTGTTTTGTTTTGTTAGAATTATGTCTCTCTATATCAAACTTAATTTCTTGTATCGTCTCCACCTTTATATAATTTGAATGAAATATCATAAACTTGGTTTTTTGATCATTCAAGATAAGCCCTCGATAGTTAAAGAAATTAATTAAGGTTTTCATATCATTAATTATTTTTCCTTCCACAGGTTCCTTCAAATCGTGCTCATTAATTAAAATGCAGTCATCCGCAAATAAAAACAGAATTCCATTGATAGTTACGCGGTATATATAGTTGATGAACAGTGTAAACAAGTATGGACCAAGAATAGAACCTTGCACCACTCCTCTTGTAAAGGTAATAGGTTTGCTGTGAGTATAGTTGATTTTGACTATTTGTGTGCGATCAGTGAGATAACTTTCAATTAATTTAAGTGCATTTCCACGAATTCCATAATTTTGCAGCACGTGTTAAAGGCTTTTGCGTGCAATCATTGAAGAGTGAAGGAGAAGTAAGAAAATAAATGGGAAAAAAGGGAAGAATACTTTGGATGGAGTGATGAAGCACATGAAGGATAGAACATGACTTACAAGTCTCAAGACTCTGCAGATCAAAACACTTTAAACATTCCTTTTTTTTTCAATCTTCATAAATTCGTCTTATCCACAAATTGATGTCTATAAATGATATCAGCTTAAAGGGAAATCATCTAGAAAAACTTCAATCTTCCTCAAAATTGCCATTACTCTCCCATTTGCAATACTTTTCAATGTTTTGGCAATTCCTTAATACGTTTCGCAGTCATCATCTTGATGTGCGTGTGATGTGTTTACTTTGTTGTAGATATGCTTTCTCGCTATCGGGATCGGGATCGGGATTTCCCGGGATTTACCGATCCCGATCAATCCCGGGATCCCGAAATTTATCGGGATCGGGATTGAAAATCCCGGTTTTTTAATTTAGGAAATTATTGATGTTTTAGAACCTGCTAAATACGCGACAGAAGAATTATTTATTAATTGCTGAAGGAACAATTAACTTTTTGCTAGACGAATTGTTGCTACAAGGAACATTATTGTCTCAAAAGGTTTACGATATGAATTGCGCTCGCATAGGTGCACGAAGAAATGGAACATTAATTGACTTAATACGGCAGCAGCAACAGAACCAAATAACTTGAAAAGAGAGTTTAATTGGTATGACAAAAATAAGAAGAGAACCGTTTTGTTAGATCAACTTTACGATGCATTGATAACAATGCAGCCGACCTCAACTCAAAGCGAACGAAATTTCTCTATTAGTAACAACATTCTTACAAAACAAAGAAAACGTTTACTTGACAAGAATCTAAATGCAATTGCATTTGTTAAAAGTTTTTTCATTAATGCTTAATTTTTATTATTATATTCACACCGTTTTCTATAACCTTTAAACTTACATCTTTATCAACATTTATTTTCTATTTTTGTTTATGTTCACATTTTTCAAAGGAAACATGGATTAAAACATCTACCTTGTAACACATAAATTATAACTAATTAATTAAGGAATAAATGACCGTATAAGTAGCAAAAAAATATACAATTTTTTTTGGAAAAAAAAGCAGAAAAATGCTGTTTTTTAAATTTTTTTACATATTCGGGATTCCCGGGATTTCCCGGGAAATCCCGAAAAATTTCAATCCCGATCCCGATCCCGAAAATTTGTCGGGACCGGGATTTCGAGAAAGCATAGTTGTAGATGAAGAGAAAAAAGTTTCATAATGATAGTTGTGCCTGAAGCACATTTTTTTCATTCCCCTTCGAGCATAACGCGACATTTGCTCAACTAATGCCTGAAAGCATTTATTCCAGTGCCGGAAATAAAAGTGGATTTTTCTCTCTCATTCTTTATAAATTAAGGGGAGGAATTGAGAAGTAAACAGATAAGATTACACATCCATCTATGTCTGTAAGACATCTTACGAGAGTCAATTTCATGCCGTTCCACCCCTTAATCGTACACGATATTTACCGGAAAAGCATAGCAAGAAAAAAATCATTGAGAATAGGCAGAAAAATCCCATTAGATGGAGATTTTTTTCTTTCCATCCCATAACGAAAAGATTAAGGACATTTTCCATTCAGTCTTTAATTTAGGAACATTCTTTCACCAGTTTATACACATACACGAACACATGTGTTTTTGATGTGCGTGCTTGTTACACATCCTGAATTTAATTTTAAGATTAAGTGTGAAGATTCTTCTTTTGGTTTATTAGGGGATCTGATGGGAGCTAAACATCGATTTATCAAAAAGTTCGGGTTGAGTTTGAGTTCTAGATACAAGAAATCGAGATTAAGTGCTTAAAAACAGGGTTGGGTTTAATGACATGATTGAAATGAGCTAAAGTTAACAGATTCTAGAAGATTTTGAGGCAAATGAGTATGTGAGCTTTTAAATCAGATGCAGAAAACTTAGTTTAACAACCCTGCTTAAGAATCGAGATCCAGCAAACTATCGAGACACTAAAATCCCTAAATCCTTCACATAATATGATTTATTTATGAAGAATGAGATAGTTAACAACTTTTACGATTTCACCATGAGATTTAACGAATGTAGCATGAAAATTCACCTATTCATACATACATAGGTATCCTCATGTAATTGAAAATAAATTAAATGCTTTCAATCAAAAAAGAGTAAAGTAAAAAAAAATATCCATTTTTTTCGTTTCCTCTACCATTGTGGCGGGGATTAGGATTTACTATGATGTATATGTGGACATCATATCTACAAAGATGAATGTTGAATTTCCAATGAGCAAAATGATGATGGATTAAAAGGATTTTTATTCATTATTCTGTCAAAATATACTTTAATATGTATTCAATGAGATGTGGATTTGTCATTTCAATGCATTTTCAATAAGCAGCATGTAATGTAACGTACATGGAAGTAAAAGCTTACGGATGCGATAGAGTTTCATTTATATACATTGATTCATGATATTTCTATGCATTTTATGGTTTTCTAAGAAAGAAAAAAAATTAATGGTAAAAAGTATCATCGCATGAATTGCATTCAATGAGATGCCATTTTAGATACATGGCAAAAATTGTCGACATTCATTTTGATTAATGTCAGTGTAAATGTGATGAGCATGCAGAAATTTCAACTTTTTGCTCGCTTGCTCTAAATAAAGGTAACTTCCATGATAAAAACTCTATGGTTAGCTGTTAGCAGTGTGCACATGCACGAGAATAAATTTTCTATGCAGCTATATGTATTTTTTTTTCCCCAACGTTACTAATGTTTACAGCACGTAATACGGAGCGCAGCTTGAAGGCAATCTAATTATGTCATGATATGAAATAAAAAAATATAAAAAACTGAGCGCTTACGTTTCCCATGTATAAAATATTAGCGTATGACTGTAAACTTTCAATTTCAATATTATTTTTTTAATTTTCATTTTATTAGCATCCGATGCTTCATGCTGAGGATTGCACAAATTGAATGTGCATGTAAATAATTCAGTCCTTCTATTGTCATTTGATAACTTTTAAGTTGATAGTTAATTTGTGTCGTGCATGCAAAATTTTGGCACAATTTAGAACCATGGGAATTTTTTTGTCAGTTTATTGAATTATTGCGTCATTTTGTTTAGGTTTGCAGAATATTTTAGGAATTACTGGAAATTTTTGTGATTGTGATCAGCAATAAAACTGATGTTGGCGACATCAATTCAATAGAAAAGATAGGTTTTATTGTCATTGCGAAGGTGCTAAGGGTCTGAAAACCTCATTAAGTGACATTTGCACACACATTTAATTTTTTTGGGTCTTGTGAGCTGAAATGGCTCGTTGGCGGAATAGATTAGTATTTCGGTACCTAATTATTCCAAAACTGACACAGCGATCATGGGCTCGAAACTCGACATGCGAAAATTTCCGATTGTCCTTTTTAAAACCCCGTATATTAGAAATGAGGCTCACAGCCTTCCTGTTTAGGCTACAGGCAGAAATGTCTTCAGAGGAGTGGTTCGGATCCCACTTTAAACTATTGGTCTAGGTTTGAGCGAGAGGTCTGGCAAACCCTCTCTCGTTAAACTATCATTAGCCTTGTAACGCAAATAACTCGCAGCTATGGATCTTAAGGTCTGAATGCTAAAGTTTATTTTTTTAAGGTCTGTAGAAAACTTTTCGATTTAGCAAGAGCTGCACAGTCGTGGCACCTGAGTAGAATAATTTCACAATTCTTAATCATTCATAAAGCAAAATGCTTACAAATTTTGAATAATATTTTTTTTTATAGATTCTTAGAAAATCGAGAAATGTCTCTAAAAACTTGAAAGTTGCTTTTCCTTGAAAATGAGCCACAAAATAAATATTTTATTGATCATAAAGTATAGCAAAATATGAATATCAAAATCGTTTTATAGCTCAAGTGTATGATATCAACTTTAAGTGTAACTAAATCCGTATTCACGAAACTTTCTTTTAAGGCAATAATATCATCCGCAATTCGCAATGGATAAGGTTTAGTTTTATTCTTTTAAGCAATACCAGTCACGCTGTTTTGTCAAAACATTCTGGCACTTTGCCATCGAAATAATGCGAATTTAATGTGTTCAGCACACAGAGCATATAAATATAGATAGGAAATTGTGGTTACTCACCGTTCTTCAGCAATTGTGGATGGCATTTGAGGTCGATTCCTGAGAATGCTTAAAAAGTGTGGTCCCTCTGATAAATATCCATTTTCAATGTCTGAATATCTTATTGATGATTTTCTAAATGCATCGCCATCACTACAATATCCTTGTCCATTCTCATCATAATAGCCGTTCATAGTTCGATTCATTCGTGACGGAGACGACATGTGATTGTTAAAACCACGCATAAGGGATCTCATGGGAACCATAGTGGATGTTGTCTCTTTATCGTCTTCAAATATTGTCTGTGCAACGCCATTTACCTTTGCTGGTATCATGCCGAATTTATTGCCATTGATAAGCAACGGATCATTGAAATTCTCCAATTTACGATTTGAAATTGGATTTGTGTGTGATTGCATTTGATAAATGTCTGCATGTATGTTTGTTTCGCTTGCTTGTCCTCCCGTCGATATTGCTGCAGACGCTGTACGATAAATGACACTCGAATCGGACGAATTGTATTGATTGTTTGTTGATGTCAAGCGTAAGCTATCACTCATTAAAAGTGTAGCTGATTGCATGCCATTAATATTATTGTTATTGCCATTGATATTATTATTATTTGTTTGATTTAGTAATTGATGATTATGTAATGGGCTAATGCCAAGTGGATTGACAATTTGTGTCTTTTGCACTATTTCATTATTATTTTGCACTGATATGCTCACTTTTTCAACTTTTATCACATCAAAATGTTCATTATTTTGGTTCTTATCATTACATTCCATTTGCTGCTGCTGTAATGTTTTCGATGTACCTTTTATTGCAGCCATCGGCTTCGGAATACTGGTACTAACTGATGTCGATTGTGTCGATGCCTTTGCTTGTTGCTGTTGTGACGATAAACCAGTTTTTGATTCGGATTTGCGGCCCACTGGCACTTGCAATTTGGCTTGTGGAATTTTGTGCACTTTCGTAGGCGATATGTCTGTATTTGCACCAGCATTTGTACCGTTGCTCTCTTTTGCCTGATTATTCAATTGACTCTTATCTTTCTTGTCGCCTTTCGACGACTTACCTGCTGTTGTTATATTATTATTATTGATTGTCGTTGTCGGTGCAGGAACCTTAGCTTTATTTGACACTTTGCCAGTATCTGATTTTTTGGTTGATGTGCTTTTATTACTTGATGATGATTGTGATGTTGGGATATTTGTTGATTCATTATTAAGGCTTAAGCTTGAGTCACTTCGTTCACTACGAGCTGATGAGAATCCACTACTAGAACTTGTGCGTTTAGATAATTGTGTTTTTGGACTTTCTGTTGACTTGTCTTTTCCGAAAATTTTTAATTTTCCCAACATTGAATGCTTTGTTGGCGTTTGTTGAGCTTGTTGTTGCTCTTGTTGTTGTAAATTTGCATTTGTAAGAAGTGATCCGTTGCTTCCATTTTGAGGTGATGTATATGGGGGATTTGGTATTTTACTAGAGCCTCTGGAAAGATAGGAAATAAAATAAAAGTTGAGTATCATGTTCGTTTTGATGAATAAAGTTTTTTTTTGCAAAAAAATGTCTATAAACTTCATAGCAGGTACGAAATATTCAATGTGAATATAAAATTACACCCAATAAAGGAAATGACACATTAAAATTATTTTTCCTGTCCTTTAGACGCCACACACACAGGCATCAGCAAAAAATTATCATGATGATGTCCATCATCATATCAAAATATAAATTTAGCATGCAAAACACGACACGAAGACACTCTCGTTGACTCATAATAATCTTCTCTCTTTTTTTGGTCTTTTTTGCATGAAGCAACAAACATTATTTTTGACTACTTGACAGTTTTCAAGCGGCAAAATGACTAAACTGATCTGTCTGGAATATTTAATTAAGTTATCATCGGATAAAGCAGGAAATTCTGCTTTATAAATCTCTGCTTTCTATTCAAATTCTTCCTCTTTTTTTTTTTGTTCAGAAAATTGCATCTGAAATAATTAACTTTCTGCTGCTCCTTTTCATGTTGGTCTCACACTCTCTTGTTCATCCATCGAGAAGCTAAACGATTTAATTTTTTTAAAATAATTTAATTTGCATTTTTACTTCCACTTCTTCTTGTTCCGTTCCTATCGCGTCTTTATCATATCTTGAATAAATTTTGCATTGCAAATTGAAATAAGAATAATATTCACAACCAATTAATTTCTAGGATGTGCCACTGTGATGGGAATCGGTTAATTATTGGATTTGAATTTTTAGGGTAACTGGATGTTAATCCTGAGTTTCACAAAAATTAACATGCAAGTAGCATTCCTTTGAAGCAATTAATTGCCCAAGAAGGTTCCATGAGGGGCGTAGCCAGGGAGGGCCATAGGGGGCCCGGGCCCCCCCTACGAAAATCTGATAATTGTTTTATTAAGTATTTATAGAGAAGAACCAGTTAATGTAGAGGAAGTGATAAAAGAAATGTCAAAATCAGCACGAAAAATTAAATTTAATGTATAAATAATGAATTAAATATTTAAACTTATAAAGAATGAATCTAGATTTAAGGATACAAAATACCGCTTTTTTAATTTTCGAAAATGGGCCCCCCCCCCTTAAAAAATTTCTGGCTACGCCCCTAGGTTCCATCCTTAATTAAATCATAAAAACCTTACAAAACCCTTTCATAAATTCAATTTATTGAATCCAAACTCCTAAAACTTTAAGAATAACATTTGGAGTTATTTTCTCATCTCAAAACATATTTTATGAATCACGACTGAAGGTTCTGAATATTTTATATGAGTCAAAATAATTTATTTTCGGTCGTAAAGGAATGAACCCTTTTTGGTAACCTCATGAATTTCTTTACATCAGCAAGTAAAACTCAACATTATTCAGAATTATTGGAGCTTTAAAGCATATGAATTTAATTTTAATGCAATTCGATGTCTTTTTTTTCTCGTAAATGTGTGATAATTATATGCAAATGATAATCACATGCTGAAATTGACAATAAATCATACAAAATAATTTTAATAGATTTTTTCAAGGCGTGGAAACTTTCCCAAGTATCCCATTCATCCCATATATCCCAAAAATGTTCAAAATGATCCCTAAGCCTGTATGCATTAGAATTGAGATATCCCATCATATCCTGAAATTGCACGTCCAATACACTAAGGATACGTTGGGATATCTCTATTATCGATCATACATGCTCAGGAATTTTTTGAATATTTTGTGGATATGTGGGATAAATATGATATTTGGGATAGTTTCTACGTCTTGAATTTTTTTTTTGCTAGGGGATCGTTTACTTTTTACGTCCAAAATTAAAAACCATTTTTCAAAAAGAACAAAAAGTTTCCAGGAAATTTTATTGTTCTCCTCTTGCTGACCCTCCCCTACCCTGGACGTCATTAATGAACGGCCCGTAGTGGAAAATCCTGATTTTTTTTTTCATTCATTTGCTCGCTTAAAGTTTTAATTAATCGCAAACAATCGCACAAAATTTTCAACTGTCGGGATGTGTCATTAAGGGGTGGAATTACGCAAAATTTATAAATAAATAAATACTCAATAATTAGCTTATCTGAATTTTAAAATAAATCGAAAAATTAAGCAAATAATGAGTGAAAAAAAAATTAAACGCTTGATTAAGTTTTCCCCAAAAAAAACAAAAAATTGATTGAAATTTATTACCTTAATCCATTTTTTGTCGGTGTATTATTATCAGGAGGACTATTCGGCCGACTGCTCTCATTCGATGGACTTCCTGATGCTATTTTATTCGATGGAATTGCTGAAATAATAATAAATATATCGTAGACTCAAATCATATATGACACAAGGACTGATGGACATCCATTCAAAATAAATTGTGCTTAAAACATACATGATTGATGATTTGGTGTGGGTGGTAAGGGTCGTATTTTATCCGGTGGACATCTTCTTGTTACAAGAACAGTTGCCGGTAAGGGAATTGCTGTTGCTCCATTTGCAGTTTTTGTATAAACTGGCAGTTGTCTGTAACGACACAAAAAATAGACAAAGTTTCATTAAAAAAAATTTTGTACACAGACATTTTCTTCATCATCATCAATGCTCTCCTGTCTATTGAGTGCTCAATGATTTAAAATTAAAAATTTAATCCAATTATCATGGAAGATTTTGTGTGCCTGTATATACATCCATGTTATGTAGATGAGACAAACTTCTATCCCTGAAGTAATTGTGTTAATTACGTCCCACATAATGATAATGGTATAGAATGATAATTAATAGGATTATCGGGCTGGTAGGCTCATTGATTATGCATACACATGCTGCTTAAAAATTAATTGATTCATGAATACTTGAAAAATGATATATGTACAGGCTCTGGGTAGCTTACGAGTTAATTAATGTAATCTGTATCCATATTATATTAATTTATAATTTTTTTTGTGTCAAATTTTATATCCTAGCTATTTTTAATCCCCCTCCTAAGAGGATTTTGAATCGATATACAATTAATTTTCATGGAATCAAATGCAGACATGGAAATTGAATTTCTCGTAGTCTCCGACAAACGGACTTTTTGGAATTTTTTGAATATATTGAGAAGCCACAATAAACATAACAATTAGTCGATGCGACAGGACAATGCACGAAAATACAATTTATAGACATTCTTTATTCATGGTGCATTTTGTATATCGGTAAAATGTGAGACTTTCTAGAATACAATGGATTTAAAGGCGATACATACAAAAATAAATCAATTTGCATTTTTCAGGCTGAATCCCATATTGCTAAATCTGTTTATTTTCTGTCTCATTCTCAACATCCTCTCTTTTCAGTTATTAACAAGCATTTATAATTTATGATACACAGGTCGTTCTCATTCGCATGCATGTTTTGTGTATTATTTGCTGTTGGTGGTGCCACAAAAACATGATTGCCGTATTTCGATATGTTTAATACGTTCGATTCGGCTTTACTTTCAATTTAAATGAGAATGAGTGCAAGCATTATTTAAAATTTGTAGTCTATGAACGGGAAAGTTGAATTTTTAAGATTTTTATACTTTTTCAACTAAATTCATTCAATTTTCATTCAGAACCTAAAATTCATTTAATACTAAGATTTAACGATCTTTCAAAATTTGAATTTTTCAGTCAACTTAATTTATATTATTTGAATCTAAAATAACCGTTTGAAACTTGAAATTCTCCAGATTGCATGAACTTTAAATCTACTCAATAAATTTATAATTAACAACATAAATCAACAATATCCAGTTTTCCCATGTACATCTAGAAGTTCCAATAAACCTTTCTTGCCACCTCGCATTCCTAATCATTTTATGCGGGTATCATATTCAATAAAATTATTATTAAAATTTCTGCATGTGGCTGTATATACAAATAAAGCATGTACAATATTTGAATATTGGCAACAGTCAGCATAAAGCCATCGTCTGAATATAGATTACTGGCTTATAATATAAACAGAATGGAAAGAAAAAAAAAATATATGAAAAATTCGTGTTGCATATTTATGCAATAAATGTTGAATGTATACTAATAAATATTTTACAGATGATTTCATACATTTTTTTTGTCTTCATAAATAATTTATTTCCATTTCTTTATTCGCATTGTGAATTGGATTAAAGTTCGTTGATGCAGAATTGAGTATAAAAGCAAGAAAGTTAAGTAAATAAGCTACCTGAATTTCAACTTCAATAAGAATGAGACATAGTGAAATGGTGGATTTTATGCTGGCACAGAACTATGTACGAACAATTTCCTACAAAATGTGCTTAGTGAAAGTCTCAATAAATCACAATTCTAATAATTTCTCATAATTTGTCATCATAAATGTGGCCGTTATGAGCGGAATTTATGAGGCTATTGCAATATCACCATGAGCAATAATGAAAATCGTATTTATGTCCAATAGGGATTTCATTTTAATTACAGCAATTTATTAATACCATTTGTGTATATCACTACCTAGTTCTGTATTATTCTGTGATTTATCTGTATTAAGGTCAATATTAAAATCCAATGGAATGGATTTACATCCAAGCAAGGGCGTAGCCAGGGGGGGGGGCATAGGGGGCCCGCCCCCCCTCCCTACGAAAATCTGATAATTGTTTAATTAAGTATTTATAGAGAAGAACCAGTTAAAGTAGAGGAAGTGATGAAAGAAATGTCAAAATCAGCACGAAAAATTAAATATAATGTATGAATAATGAATTAAATATTTAAACTTATGAAGAATGAATATAGATTTAAGGATACAAAATAACGGTTTTTTAATTTTTGAAAATGGGCCCCCCTTTAAAATTTTCTGGCTACACCCCTGCATCCAAGCCATGTGAAAATTGTCTAAAATCCCGATCAGCATTCTTCTAATTGATGCTGTGGCTGAAAATATACTAAATGTATACTTTTGTGATCCAGAGTTGAGCTAGGGCATTTTGTAGCTAATGAGAGTTAAACGAGTAAAGGATTTTGCTAGACTTAAACTCACTCAAACCTAGAACTCCAGTTAATAGAGGGATCTGAACCAATCTTTTGATGACATTACTGCCTGTAGCCTCCAAACACAGGCTGTGAGCTTCATTTCCAGTAAACTGGGTTCGAAAAAGGACATGCGAAAAATTTACCATGTCGAGTCTCGAACCCATGATCGCTGTGTTGGTATTTTAATAATTAGATTTCAAGGTACGAAACCATTCCACCACCCAGCCTTTTAAGCACTGAATGTCTGCTTGACAATTGGATTATCAAGTGTGTCACAGTAATGACAACATTCAAGCATGTGCCATTCGGGACTGCGATCAAATTTATGTAAATTCCAAAGAAAATTAAATATTTGATGAACTTAATGCTTTACCTTTGCTTGATTGCAGGAGAATTTGGAAGGCTGCGACATTTTCTGCCCTTTTCACGTCTCGAAGATGAATTACCCATTTTTTTTTTGCTTACAAAATGCTACTTTCCTTCTGTGCCACTCTTAAAGGCTGCTTTTTTTGCCTTATCACTTTTTTTCTTTCACTTCCGAGTTCTATGTCATATTTTCATCCTTAATAAAAAATTTCACAAAAATAAAAACTTTTTGCTCTGCTTTTGGTAAATAATTCAACTTTGGAATTAAAATAAAAAGGTAATACATAAAACATTTTTTTTTCTCCTTCCTTTCTGCACATTAATTTCATTTTTACCAATGGGTAAACATTTAATTAATGTTGTCTTTAAAAATAAAATATACAGAGTGAATTCAGCATTAAAACAGCAAAAGAAATATGTTTTTGTAACTTTGCCTTTGGGACTTATATGACCTTTCTCATTTGAAATCACTCCATCCTTTCACATTTTCATTTTTTTATTCAATTTTCTTATTACTGCTCTTGTTTTAGTTCAGAATATGGAAACATTTAGAATTTCTTTTATTTTTATCATGTTTGGGAAAATTTTATTCGGAACCAGAGCGGAAAATTTTAATGAACTCGACTGTCTAATGAAACAGCATCGTGGTATTTATGAAAATGTATAGTTCTTGCAGCAAATTAAAAATTTCTAGACTCTTTAATGTAAACAGCAAAAAAATTGTAGTTTTTTAATTTAAACAAACCAGAAGCTAGACGATGTGATTAATTCTGCACTAATTTTTGAATTGTTTATTGCACTGAGAGGAAACAAGTATCAGTCTTGCGAACTTAACACGTTTAGAACGCAAACTTTTGAATTTTAAAGATTTAAAATTGAGAAAAACTTAAAATATATGAATAGTCTCGAATGTGTCGAAAATGCTTACTTAAATTAAATTAATAATCGCCATAAATTTCAATAATTGTGTTTTCTGAGAATTCAATGGATTGGTTCGATTTATGACTTCTCAACTCCCCCTCCCCTCCATTTAGACATCGTTTATTTTGAAAAATGTCAAAGTTGTGGACCTCTTCCAAAAAATGGAATTTAATTTTTAAACAAACTCTTAACTAGGGCACACTCCTCTACAATTGTTAACTTAGCTTCTTTTTAAAACAATTTTGTCCAAACTTTTTTGAGCTACGGCACACATGAAGGGTAAGCCATGACCGAACTCACATACAGTATGCCGCAGCACACAGTTTGGACAACACTGATTCAAAGCAACCCAAAATTCAAAGCTCCAGACATCCAACAGCAAAAGAAGAATGTATTGAAAAAGTCTAGACATAAAACGTCCATAGCCATAACAGGTTCGTCTATTTATCTTTTCAGTGCCACAAAATTACAAGTTAATAGGAAGCATCTTTCTTAACAATTCACCTCCAATGTGAAGTATAGCTATCGTCATCGTTATTATTGTTATATGTAGTTGTATAAACTGCCAAGAATAAAATTTATCGGTTGGCATGGAATTGAGATGAAGGAAGAAGAAGACATTAAGAGGAAGTTTAAGGTGCAATACCAACTGATGATGTGAGACGAAACAATGGAGTGAATGTAGAGACTTGATAAATGTGAAGAATGTAAGGAACTAATAAATATTTACGACTTGTTTAAAGGCTGGTGAATTATTCTACCCGGTGCTTTTATGGCTTCTCTATTTTTATTTTGTTCTTCCGTTAATGCAACTATTAGGTGATCTAATGATACAAGCTTTTTATAAGAAGAGCCAACATTTGCGCAAGTTTATGTCACATACATTGTGTACTTTGAAGAGATAGCAACAAATTTCTCAACGTCATTGAATTTCAATCAGAACATAAAAAATCAAATAGCCACTGTTCTGTATAAATCTATAGCTACATAGTTCTCTTTCCATAGAAAAATGTCGTAAGCAACATTTGTTAACAACATTCCGAATATGAATAGGATATTGCTTATTATTATTAGTATTGTATTCACTTGTTAAGCCAAAACATTGTTCTCGATGTAGAAATCGGATGGCGTGCAGGCAAGAAAAACTCAGAATCCACAAAGTTATTTGAATTTTAATTATAAAACAAAGTTAATTAAAATCTTTTTCTCTCTTTTGCTTTCTTC